TTTCCTTCTTGTAATGTACACAACAATCTGGTCATTAGAGTAGCCAGTAATTACTGGTCATATACCACATGTAATAAACATATATATATATCTACAAGTCTGCACGGTTTAAAATGTTATGACATTTTAACCTTCATTCCTCAGCCTTACTCTAACCCATGTATGCATGGAGTGTGGGAGAAAACCAGGAACACACATAGGCATGGGGAGAACATGCAAACTCCACACAGAAAGGCCTTAGTCAGCCACAGGGTTCAAATCCAACACACTGGCTTCTTCAAAAAGCCTTGCCCTGCTGTTGATTCAAATGATTGCTTGGGATTATCTTTAGTTACCACTATCTGAGCTCACTTTGTGTCATATGGTTTGGAGATGGAACTAATGCTGTTTCACTCTCTCTGAGTGATGGGTTTCATGGTGTTCATTTGTGCTGGGTTATGATGATGATGGATACGTTTCGCATCTGACGCTGGGTCCCTGCATTTAACTTTGTTCATACCTAAACTTGTTAGTTGCATTTTGTTTTAACAACTTATTTGCCTCACTTCACTTTCTCTCCATCTCCTTTCTTTCTTTTCTTTACTGATAACACAGTTTGCTTCCCTGACAAAAGACACGAGTCGCATTGTCAGTCACCTAGATAAAATATATTAGTTGTGTTGTAAAAGGTCAGCCTAAACAGTTTTCTCTCATTTGTAAGGGGCAAAAATATTATCAGAGAGCCAGTCACCCAGCCAATTTGTGTTGGGCAATTTATTTATGATACTACTTACTCAAATAAAAAACTGCAAACCAAAAGCCAACTTTTCATTGAAGGCTTCCAAGGTCACCTCCCAGCCCACATTTTGTGCTTAGCGGTAGCTTCATACAGATAAAACCTTTAGAGATCCAAGTTTTAAGGGTTACATTGTAACAGGGAACCTGGAAGAAGAACCCGAATGCTGACGAAACAGGCAAACCACATGATGTGGCATGATGTGCATGACACATTTCTAATCTTCCTGACCATTTAGAGCACCTTACACAAGAAGCCAGACTAACTGGTAACAAATTAACCTAACATGCATTCCTTTGGAATGCCAGAGGAAACTGGAGAAAACCCATGCGGACACAGGAAGAGCCTAAGAGGGCTAGGATCCACAACCGTTCTGCAAACCAGCAAAATGTCTCTTTAAAGGCAGTTATATGCCTCTAAGTTGATTTATGTAAATTCATGTATCCATCACATAATACATATTTGGATAATTATTAAAGAATGTATAAGAAACATTAATTCATGTGTGCAACAAATGTGTTGTAAACTTGAGAAATATACATGTTAGTGGAAGTTTGGCATTAGTGCATAAATTGCATTCATGACTGAATGAATGAACTGAAATCATTATGCATTCTTTTAAAAAAAAAAAAAAATACATGAAAGATGCTTTGAATTAATAATAAAGATAAAAGGAATACTTTATTCATCCCACTTTGGGAAATGCTTTGGTTTTGCTGTTAGTGGTTATTCAGTTCACACAGACTGCTTAATGTGAAGTTATAGATTGATTATTAATGACTGGTCCGTATTGTTGATCATCCAGAAAGGCACACTGTCGGGACCCAGATGGGAAAT